ACAAACGAGAACGTAAAGGGCTAAATTCCAGGAAGTGGACTCTCTGTGCGACGTATGTAACCACGAAAGGGAAACTATAGAACATGTAATTTTAAGGCGCACGGGGCTTCGTCCCACCCTCTTGAGCGGATAACTACGGATTGGGAAGGGGCACTGGGTTTTCCGGACATGGATGGACAAATGGATAGAGAAAGAATTGCAGTAACTAAGAGGAGATTAGAAGATTGGTTGAAAAGGTCTAGGGAAGGATAAACAAAATGATATAAATAAGCAATATAATCACTTTAAAAAGGGGGGTGGGGTTGTGTTAGAACAAAATTTATACAATTTAAAAAAAAAAGAAGGGATGACGAAATGCAAGGCTACATGGCACAAGCTGCTGCCGGTTACAAAGGGTATAGCCCTCACCATCCATCCATACTCTGTCTTCTTTGCTAGTCTATACTAGTGAAGCGGGCTAGCTTACTAACCCCTGGATACGTATTATTGGCACTGCTAAACTGTAATTTGTGGGACACGGCTATCAGATAGCACTGTTGTCACTGTCATCCACATGTACACTTTTTCAAAGATAGTTCACCTGCTCGTCCTATGGCAAGACTTAAGTATGTTCTTTTATTTTTATTTTTAGAAGGAAAATAGGAATGGAACGAGCATAATTTTTTTGGATATTTAGGATGCTTAGAGCCTGTCGAATGAGTTATCACCAAGAACAGACAATCTGAGAAACATCTTTAGTGCACCTTTAAGTCAGTACCTGTGTTTGCCTTTTTGTGTGCCTGCCTGTTTGTGTCCTTGTTTTTTCTGCCATTAGTCTGTTCTCCTGAACAAGTCAATGAAGTGAAAACAATAGACAAAATGTCTTGTAGGCCCAGATACGTACCTCACCATCTTGGACAGCAAAGAGAAGTGGCCAAGAGGAGGCCACGGCCTCACCAGGTGGAGCAGCCACTGCAGCACCTAGGATAGCAAATTAAAGGTTAGAGCGACGAGTAACATCAAGGTCTTGATTTCTTTATATGCTAGGACGTACTGTAGCTGTAATAAAGACAAAGACAGCCGCACAACATATTCAAAATGACGTGCAATGCAGTATAAATAAAGCACAATATTCCTTCACAACGTCGATCTAGCCCTATGCTCAGGAGCTATGTTAGTCAAAACATTAAACCCCATTTCTTTGTTGTAGTAATAGCAGGAAGCATGCATATTCCCAAACAAAATGTATGCTACAGTTGCTAATAGGGTGAGATTTCAGCAATGCATGCCCTCAAAATGTTTCGTAATTTCACTCCACCAGTAAATCACTTTCACTTGTTTTAGGATTTTCAGACCATTAGCAAATCGCTTTAACTTGATTTATGACGATGTTAACCTGTAGAGGTAATGTCAGCTCTTTCTTGCGGTACTTTTAGTAAGGTGACACAAGGGCTGCGGTCACTACCATTAAGGTGGTATTGTTGCTTATGATGTTGCCACAGCCAGGCTGCTTTATGCATTAAATAAATGAACACTACCTTTTGAAATCACGCCTTTAAAGGGATGCTGAACCGAAATTTTGGGTGGAAATTCTTGGTCGCAATGGCATACATAGCATGTCCTTTACTTCTAAATGACGTTGTTTTGAGCGAGAAGGCGTATAAAATTGAATAAACACGAAAAGTAGAATTTTACGCGACCCCTGGTGAGCGTCGTCGAAAGCTCGCTTCGTGACGTGCGCATTCTCATTCGCCTCAAAAGACAGACGGAGCCAAGCCAAGCCAGGCGCTAAGCCGGGTGGCGTTTGTTATTGTTAGTACCACGCGGGCTCTGCCCGCGTGGTACTAGTACCAGCCGCTTTGAGAACAGCCGCCGAGCGAAGAATCAAGGCGAGCACCAATGAACGAGGAGAATGCGCGGAGGCACCAGGGGCGCTGGGGGCGCCGAGAATGCGCACGTCAGTTCCGCTACGCCTGCTCTCAGAAGGACTCGCTCTCGCCGGCGGCTTCCGGCCGAGGATTCGCTCTTAATTCAAAGAAATACAATAATTCGGGCCCCACCCTTCTGATTGAATATCGTTTTTAGGTACAGTACCATCCCGTGAAGCCTGCTCGAGCAATAATTATGAGATTTCAAATATCGGTTCAGCATCCCTTTAAGATAGTATTTATTCATGTGGGATACTGGCAACCTTACCAACTCTCGTTGTTACAACTACTCGCCTGTCAGGTAAGCAATGACTGTATCGTGCTATGCTGCATAAAGAAGTCATGAAATGATGTCTTCCTGTTCTGTCATCAACCATTTGTTGAGTTAAAAGTCTGACTATAGTAGTATGACAGTGTTGTCCTGCCCCTAAAAAAGCGACTTTTGATCCCTCTGCTCCTGTGTGCAAAGAGGGTGAAACACTATTTTCTTAACGGTAGAAGGGCCTGAAGCATGTGAATAACCGTACTGGGCAGAGCCTCTCCTGAACAATCAATTGACTTGCTCCACTAAATTGAGATTGTCACTACCTGCAACTACATTATCAGCAGTTCAGATTGCAAATACATAATTGGATTTGGGCCCACCAGCACTGTCATCCTGTCAGTAAATTAATATCTGCTTTTATACAGATGAAAAACAAATTAAGATTTGCAACGTACAGTCGGAGGCGTCTTGGGCAACGACTCAGCAGAATCTCGATAATACAAATCTCTCCCCCCCCTTCCACTCCACCCACTCCCCTCACATTAAGTGACCCAAATATTAACCGGCAATGCAATTTGTCACTACGTATTGCACCATCTAGCGGCTGCAAAATAAAAGACCGGGTAGGCCAGGACAGCCCGGATCGCAAGGACTGCAGGCGGGTGCATTTAGAAACCAAGTGTGAATGTGGCATTTTGGATCGGCATGAGCCTTTTTGGGAACCGTTCTTCTTAAAAGTAAGTCCCGACTTCACGTCTCCATGAACCCAGCGGGTTTCTGTAGCATCTTGCCTACTCCTATAGGAGTAGGTGAGATGCTGTAGGAACCCGCTGGGGTTCGATAGGGTTCCCCCAAAAAATAAATGTCGCTACTGCTGCGTGAAAGACTGTCACAGTCACGAAGGCGACTCAAGCGTCAAACTATACCGCTTCCCCTCGAGATCTTCGGAAGTGACACGGCAACAGAAGTGGATCACTGCAGTGTGATGCATCAGGTAAGTAAATTCTACAGTAATTGTTGCTGTTGAAGTGAACGAAAATAGATGTGCAGGCTTGGAAAGTGGTCTGACGAACTTGTTTTGCAGACTACTCAGCAAAATAACAATTTTATACAAGTTGTTCTACGAGTCACTATAGTCCGTTGCAACCTAAGAACGAAGGGCGAGGGTAAGACGGGTCGGGGAGGAGGAAGCAGACGGAACGCTGGAGAAGAGAGGGGAAAACCTCCTTCTCTCTTTAGCGTTCCGCCTGCTTCCTCCTCCCCGGCCCGTCTTACCCTTGCCCTTCGTTCTTAGGTTGCAACAGACTATAGACACCACATAGGGAAATACAACAGGAACAATTGGGCCGATTGTTGCTTCGCTGTGACGTCCAGAATCAGGCGATCAGGCCTTCAAGAAGCGAGAGGCCCGTCCCGGCAGTCGTAGTTGTATGTGCGCATAGCCGTTCGGCACACGCGCGGTCGTAACCAAAACCTTTCAAACCTGCGAGTTCTCAAATAGTAAATTTTCGCAGCACATAAAGCTTTGTCTGTTTCGGCAACAAAATTTAACGCTGAATCTGGTAACAAATTTGACGGCATGCAGAAAACAGGATGCGTAAGTTTTTCTTTAGAAAGAGCTCAAGTGAAGCGTAAATATCCTTCTCACATGTGCACTTTGTTGCCTGTCACCTTTTCACACCAGGCTTGCATATCACGGTACAGCCATTGTAACGCGCATACTGTTCACTAGCATGCAGAGTATGCTTCTAATTACTCACATTTTCTAGCCGGGGGCGAGCGCGAGGAAACAGGAAGAGCGTGCCGCACCAGGCTGGGGCCGCGCAGGAACGATGGAGCCGTTCTGGCTGGTCTGGCTCATGGCGACTCCTGGAGCGTTCCGCCAGCGAGGTTCAGATCAGGACCGGCGGAAACGGCGAGCCCTGGCCACACCGACCTAGGCCATGACGATCCCGGAGTGGTTCCGCAGCGAGACTGACTGTGATAGCCCGGAACAGCTTGCTTGTGCAGCGCTGGCGTGGGGAGGACGATCCGCAGGCCTGGACACGGACAGCGACTGCGAGCTCTGAATGACGGGCGACAACCCGGCTCGGCGGGCCGCAGTGCCGGCTCTCGAAGACGGACAACTGGGAAGTATAGTAAACCGATTCGCAATCTTCTCGTTGTATTGTGTCACTCCCTGGGAGACGAGCGAAGCACATGCCGATCGCGCGGCGATTATTACAGAGAGACCCCACAAGTAGTGAAGACAACTCAAACTGGTGCCCAAATGACAACTCTAGAATATGCTTGCCGGCTAGCAATGCTGGGTAACAAAGACTTTCGAACTGATAGCCGCCCGGAAATTTTTCTTCTGTAAAGCTATACATTCAGGCTCGAATCGTTCACTGAAAATAAAGCTACAAGTGTCTCAGCAGACCTAATAATGCGAAATCCCCACATGGTAATACAGCAAGCACAAAAAGAAACAAAGAAATATCCTTAATCCTTACCTTTTCTCCCACGACCGTTTTTTCCTTCGCGCTCAGCAGCTCGCTGGCGGGGCAAATTGCCCAGTGTGCACAGACGCCGCCGACGATTCCTAGCACTTCTAGCCGCTTCTAGCAACACTAAAGTTTTCCTTTCGTTTTTATTTTTATTAACCCTTTTAGGTACTTTAAAAAATGTTTGTGTATTTTTAGGACACATTAAATATAAAAATAGTGTTTTTGGGGCCCAAAGCAATACTCATGCAAAATGTTTAACGTATCTTAGGAACTATATTTTCTGGTTTCGGTTTCGCGGTCTCGACTTTTCGCCGCGAGGGGTTTCCAAATACTCCGTCCGTCGGCTGCGATGTGCATGGCGGCGCCCAAGATGCGCATCGTCCACGCCGTGCTTCGCACTTCGACCTTATGTTACAAAGGTAAGCAGTACTTTGCTCTGAAATATGCTAATTTTGAATTTTTACAAGTTCTGGATTCCATAGCGCTGACGTATTTTACCCCGAAACGTATGAAAATCGGGGAAAAAAAAAGTACATAGTAGATATGCGAAGGCTCTTTCACATGCTCTGATTCTAGACCGAAATCGGTGCGATTTCTAGTATATGTGCGATTAAAATCGCAGTCGCATTGTCGCAGCGGCTCTGCAACTGGTTTCCACCAAGTTGGTATTTTGCCGCAGAGCCGGTGCGATCGCTTTCTCGTCAATCAGCCGTTCATTAGCCAGCTTTCATCCGCGAAAATAAATGTAGGCACATAAAAGGTTCTGATTTAATGCTTCGTTATTATAAATTTCTGGTTACATATTGCACTCCTAAAACATGTATGCTTATTGAGACGTTTTTGTTGTATTTTAGACAAAGTGAAACGCGTCGCGTCCGTGTCCGAAGCGCCAGCCGCTCCGACAGAAATCGCGCTGGTGTTGGAGCATGTGAAACCAAACATTGCGATCGCACTCGTTGCGTCGGCTGTCGCACCGATTTTTTTTTTTTTTCGCACAGTCGCGTCATGGGAAACTGTCTTAAGAGAGGAGTCGCATAGTAGTTCTGTGATTTCTGTGGTGTTCCGTTCCGTGCTTAGATTTGGCAATGTTTCAGTAGTTTACTTTAGGGGCGGGCGTTCACTCTGAATTTTACATACCTGTGCACGAGGAATCGGCTGTAATTGTCGGGAGAAAGCTTCCTGTTTGGCGTGGTTTAGTACATCCCTGTTTTCTGGTAGAATTTGACGTGGTGCTCTTTTCTTTTAGGCTTCGTATTCTACTGCTGCCCGAAGGAAATTCCATCGGGATCTTTCTACCAGACAAGGTGTCGCGATCGTCCCTGTGTGGTTTTGATTCCAGAAAGTGGAACAGTGTCTGATGCGGGACCTAGTGATAGAGAAGTGAATGACAGTGACGAGGAGAACTTGCCAACGAGGGTCCTAACAACAGAACTTCCAAGCGATAACGAAACTGAAGGCAGAACGCCCGCCTGTCCACTTCTGTCAACGTCAAGAAAGAAGCAAAAGTCACCGCCGCAAGTTTTTGACTGGGGAGAAGAAGACCGGTGTTTTCTGGAGCCTGCGGAACCCATGTTTACGGCCTCTGATGGTGTCAAATGCCGACTGAAATATTTTCAAGTTTTCATTGATGACAAGCTGCTGACGATTGTTGACGAGACAAACCTGTATTCTTTCCATCAGGCTATTGCATATAGGTAAACGTTTGTTACACTGTGCCAACATGCTTACGCAAAGTACATATTATTTGAAGTGAATCGTTGCATCGCCCCTTCAATTAAGCACCTTATAAAATCAAATGTGGTGTTTGAGCTCTGTACATCTTATTTAATTTTAAAAGAAAACATGTTTTCATTCAACACCACACATATATCCGTAATGTGTGCTCACCAGAGGCACCCTGGTGTGCATGTCAGGCCAGTTTAGTGTGCCTTGGTGTGGACATTAGACCAGTCTGGTGTGGCGTAGTGTGTACATCAAGCCATTCTGGTGTGCTGTGTTGTGCACATCAGACCAGCCTGGTGTGTTTTGATGTGCACATCAGACCACACTAGGATGATGTGATGGGCACACCTAACCAGCCTGACGTGTTCTGGTGGGGACAACAGAACACGTTAGGCTGGTCTGATGTGCGCACCAGAACACACCAGGCCGGTCTGATGTTTACGTCAGAAAACACTAGGACACACCAAACCGGTCTGGTGGATTTTTCAATAGGGTACACACAGACGATGCTCACAAAGCATCCGTCGGATGGTCCACGAGAAAGGCAAGTGAAAGTGAACGCTATTTCTGGGGTCTATATTACTGTTATCACTTTCTAACAACCGGCACGCTTTTCGCCAGTGCTTGTCTTCTCTTCGTGTTTCACGGTCCACCCCGGCGGCGGCTCCAATACTGTAAAGAGGCGCCAGTTTTCGCCACGCCAAATCGTGCTACCGCAAGGCGAAAGGCTGAGATGAACATGTGTTCAGCGGAGCCGCCTTCCTATACGTGGCGTACACAGAGACCCTAGACGCTGGGTATTCAAAACCAGACCTGCGAAGCATGCGACATGAGAGTGCCTCGCGATCGCTCCGGATAGCGCGCATTTTCTGCGACCCTTATACAAAAACGCACAAAGAATTTTCACTTTAAAATCACGTCTGCTTTTGTGCCGTCTTTTCTTTTTTTGACTACCCTCGAACATTTTTAACAGCACCCCATTCAGGGTGCTGTTGTAGCGTTAATTTGGTCCTATTTTTAGCTTTAAAACTTTAAATACACAAAAGATAATGCAACATGTTTTTGCAGATTCTGTTTGTAAACCCGCCGGCGATATGAAGGTGAACGCCGGATCGTCGACCGGTCCGTGCTGTCAGCGCCATGATGAGGCTGCCGTGGCGGCTCGCTTTCTTGTCGCGCGCTTCGCCGAGATGCAGCGCTAAATCGAGCGCTGTTCTCGAAATTAAGCACGGACCGGTCGACGGTCCGGAGTTCACCTTCATATCGCCGGCGGGTGTACCTGTAATGGGCGTTAATGTGGGAGAGATTGAAAAAATCGAATATGGACTTTCTTTTTTTTTAATTGAGTTTCAACATAACTCGAAATTGCTAAAGTGGCCCCATTTGAGCGTTTCTCATGTGTTTATTTCGCTGCCCAAGACAACCATATTCAACGCCAATATTACCAAAATACAGAGTAACACGCTGGAAAAGTTTAAAAGTTTTTGTGTTTAAAGATGCGAAAAAAATATTAATTTGTAAGTATTTTTAGACTACAGTGTTTCCTGCTGGGATCAAAATAACAGAGGACCTCGCTCGTGCTATGCCATCCACAGTGGCATCAACGGAAGCGCCTACAAAGGGAACCCCTCGACTACAGCGCGCCATTGGGCATGAAAGATTTGCAGCGATGAGGTGGCTCATGTTTTTCGTCTTGCCACAGCTCCTGAACGTGTCAGCGCGTGCGCCTCCATCCAGCTGGCGACACGATGACGGGGCAGCTTTGCTCCGGTTTACTGGCCGCGAGCTACCATACCCCACGCGCTTGTCGACTACAGTGTTTCCTGCTGGGATCAAGATCACAGAGGACCTCGCTCGTGCTATGCCATCCACAGTGGCATCAACGGAAGCGCCTACAGAGGGACCCCCTCGACTACAGCGCGCCAGTGGGCATGGAAGATTTGCAGCGATGAGGTGGCTCATGTTTTTCGTCTTGCCGCAGCTCCTGAACGTGTCAGCGCGTGCTCCTCCATCCAGCAGGCGACACGATGACGGCGCAGCTTTGCTCCGGTTTACGGGCCGCGAGCTACCATCCCCCACGCGCTTGTCGACTACAGTGTTTCCAGCTGGGATCAAGATCACACAGGACCTCACTCGTGCTATGCCATCCACAGTGGCATCAACGGAAGCGCCTACAAAGGGACCCCCTCGACTACAGCACGCCAGTGGGCATGGAAGATTTGCAGCGATGAGGTGGCTCATGTTTTTCGTCTTGCCGCAGCTCCTGAACGTGTCAGCGCGTGCGCCTCCATCCAGCTGGCGACACGATGACGGCGCAGCTTTGCTCCGGTTTACGGGCCGCGGGCTACCATCCCCCACGCGCTTGTCGACTACAGTGTTTCCTGCTGGGATCAAGATCACAGAGGACCTCGCTCGTGCTATGCCATCCACAGTGACATTAACGGAAGTGCCCTTAAAAGGACTCCCGGCTACAGCGCGCCAGTGGGCATGGAAAATTTGCAGCGATGAGGTGGCTCATGTTTTTTCGTCTTGCCGCAGCTCCTGAACATGTCAGCGCGTGCGCCTCCATCTAGCTGGCGACACGATGACGGCGCAGCTTTGCTCCGGTTTACGGGCCACGAGCTTCCATCCCCCACGCGCTTGTCGACTACAGTGTTTCCTGCTGGGATCAAGATCACAGAGGACCTCGCTCGTGCTATGCCATCCACAGTGACATTAACGGAAGCGCCCTTAAAAGGACTCCCGGCTACAGCGCGCCAGTGGGCATGGACGATTTGCAGCGATGAGGTGGCTCATGTTTTTTCGTTTTGCCGCTGGTTAGTAGTCGTAAACCTTGCCACTGTTTTAAGTCGAATTATGTTTGTCTAGTTGTGCTTCCATGTCCCGGAGCTTGTATTGAATCGTTTAGAGCGTGTATTGAATCTTTTAGAGCTTTGTTGCTTTTGATGTCTGGGGATGTAGAGAAGAACCCGGGCCCTATGAGCAAGCAACAAGAGGATGAATTCCTTGCGCTTGTGCAGACAGTCGCGAAGGTTCGGAGTAGCCTTGCTCTGTTGCAACAAAAGGTAAACCTACGAACACAGAAAAATATAGAAAGCGAAAAATCTGCTTCCACTCTAGAAGAACGCGTTAACAACCTAACACCTGAACTCGACTTACTAAAACAGAAGGAAATCGCTAGCGTCACCTTTACCGAAGCTCTGCTTACTACAGCTCTAAACGAACTTTCGCAGCTGAAAACTCGTTGTGACGACGCGGAGGGCAGATCCCGTCGTAACAACCTTCTATTTTTTGGCGTCACTGACACCGATAGGGAAACTTGGGCCCAGTCTGAGGGCTTGGTAACTCGCCTGCATTCCAAAAACCTTGGCGTGAGTGTCGAATCAAGCAAAATTGAAAGAGCGCACCGCTTGGGAGCGTTCAATCCACAGAAATGTCACCCTATAATTGTGAAGTTTTCATCATTTAAGGATAAAGAGCGCATTCTTTCGTCGGCATTTAAGCTCAAACTGACACGTGTAGATATCAGTGAAGAGTTTTCCATTTCTGTCCGACTTGCGCGCCGTCACCCTCTTGATTTTGTCAAGCCTAAAGGCACGACTTACAAGCTGCGTCACGATAAGCTGTTTATAGATAATAAGTGTTAATGATTTGACGCCGCTCTTGGTGCCGTGAACGAAAAAAGTGCATAGCAATGCCAGCATTCATTTTGTTTTTCGTCACCAAATCAACCTGCATAACGCCGTGATATCTGTAACAAGCCTTCTTATCATTCTATTTTATTTACTAACATTAGAAGCTTGATACCAAAAAGAGATGATGTGATTTCCTTGGTTGAAGCATGCAACGCTGATTTTCTTGTTCTTACCAAGACGTGGGTAAACCCCTATATAACTGATATTGAACTTTTTCCTTTCTATCCAAACTTTCGTGTGTATAGGTGCGATAGATCTGCTAGGAGGGGGGGGGGGGGGAGGTGTGCTTTTAGCTATAACAAATCATATTCCGTCTCGGGTTATACCGATTCTTACCGACTTGGAAGTTGCTTGTGTGTACGTCGCTACGACGCCCCCCCCCCCCCCCCCCCCGTAATAGTGGCTGTGTGCTATAGACCGCCAGATAGTGATAAAGAATTTGTTACCAAGCTATATAAGTGTCTTTCTGAAATCACAACTAAATACGCTAACGCCTTTGTTACTCTCTTTGATGATTTCAATTAGCCGAACATTGACTGGTCTGCCTTCTCTTCTAGTTACGCATTGTCTCAAGGATTTATAGGCTTTTGTTTAGATTTCAACTTTTCAAATGTTATCACTGCGCCTACTAGGATTACTAATCACTGCAGCAATATACTCGACTTATGCTTAATCCAAGAGCCCTCTCTCTTCGGTAACGTCACGTACTTACCCGGCATTAGTGACCATCTCGTCATCGATTTAACGGAGATGACCAAATTAACTCTAAGGTATTAATAAACACTAAACACATTTCATCAACTTTCCTCTGCAACATATTTTCTCAATCTCTTAAACTCTCTGAAGTTCCATTCGATTGGAAAGTTGCTAACGTCATACTCGTTCATAAAACACGCGAACGCCAACTAATCAGCAACTATCGTCCCATCTCGCTCACCAGCGTTCCAAGCGAACTCTTGGAGCACATTTTCTATTCTAACATAATAAACTTTCTAGACTCTCATAACCTACTTTTCAAGCACCAGCACGGATTTCGCAAGTCCTACTCATGCGAAACTAAGCTAACCGAATTTCTCACTGACGTTTCCTCAAATTTCGATTCGAATGTTCAAACTGACGCCATCTTCATTGACTTCTCCAAAGCATTTGACAAAGTCCCTTATCAACGTCTTTTAATGAAACTAAGAGATATTAATCTTCACCCCTCTGTAGTCAATTGGATTTCTTAATTCCTCACTAATCGCACACAGCAAACTTCTATTAACAATATGAAATCTACCACAAGCACAGTAACGTCTGGCGTCCCTCAGGGAAGCGCTCTTGGCCCCCTTCTATTTTTAATCTACATTAATGATCTCCACCCTGGCATCACTTCTGAAGTACGTTTGTTCGCCGATGACTGTGTCATCTATAGACCGATTCATTCACGCCACAATCAACTAATCATGCAACACGATCTGCAACTTATTACTCAGTGGTGTCATAAATGGCAAATGGCTTTAAATATAATAAATGTAAATCGCTATCTTTTTCCCGCAATTCACATGTTCTATCCTCCTCTTACCACCTTTCTGGCATCCCAGTAACTGCTTGTTCATCGTATAAATATCTAGGAATTCATCATACATGTGACCGACCTGTCATGGACCACTCATATAACATCTGTCATCGCCGATGCTAACCGCACTCTCTGATTTCTTCGCCGTAACCTCAGACAAGCTTCATCCCCCGTAAAACAACTAGCTTATACTACCTTGGTCAGAACTAAACTAGAATTCGCTTCTTTCATATGGTCACCGT